CCTATCTGTTTTTATTCTATTCTGGAGTTACTGAGAATGCAGTTAGTGAGTTTACTCAAACAACATCCTCTTATACCCATATTAGTAAAGAATGATTACTAGCACTATACAATTACAATAGTCGTAAACTAACCTAAAGCAAAACTCATAAACTCTCAACTGGTTTCTCACCTACTGCTCTGACAGTATATCATCTAGCCTTTTCCTTGCCATTCTAGTCCTATCAATTTAACATCTATGTAGATAATTACTTTACTAGCATACTTCTATTTCACCACCTCTGTAACCGGTACGGGTACTCGGTTATTGGGTTTGTTTTAAGTATCGTTTGATACTTGGTTTTGTTTTAAGTATCGTTTGATACTTGGTTTTGTTTTATGTTCTGTTTTAAGTATCGCTTTGATACTTAATTAGTTTCACCAAAGTGTATCGATTGATACCTTTGATTAGTTTTGTTCATACTAGACATGAACAGATTTGTGTATTTAAAGACCGCCTATTTCTACGATAGAAGAGGCAGACTTCGACAGACAGTATTTCAATATACTTGGTTGAACGGTTACTTCGTTGTTTCCCAGTACACCTCCGAAGCCTCCTTTAATTCTCAGCTCTCGCCTCCTCTCTGGAAGAGCAGGCCACCTGCCAACTATCGTACCTATTACTGATAACATGATTAGCACCTTGCGAACACGTTACAACCTCCGAGATCATAGCCTCTGTACAGCTGGAACAACATGAGCAAACTACCCAGATTTTCCTTCCACATTAATGATTAGTAAGGATATTACAAAAAGAATACTGGAATAGAATCACCTATCGGGAGTGGTAGTGAATGGGGTTTGTGCTGCCCTTTGGCAGAATAATAACACTGTTTTATTCCTAACTACCATTCACAACCTTCATCACCTTGTTCTCCGTAATTGGTGAAAACCTAAAAAAACTAGCACTAATGCCTCCATGGCTTGTAAGCCATTCGCCACCTATGAGTATAAAAAACTTCTCTCTATTCTAGTATTAGTGGAAGATTACAACCAGTATATGGGGAGTGGATATTGCAGATCAGTTGTGAAGCAATTATCTATATCACCAAAAGAGCCGACGGAATTGGCTCTCCTTATAGTTCTGGGCTCTTGATACGGACATCACAAATACATACCTTATTGCTTGCTCACTCTCTCCCAAGTGTGAATACAAGGCCTTTCGCCATGAGCTTGCTCTTAGACTCACTGAAAGTGGTTGGTCTCAACTCCATCCTCTTCCCCATCTATCACAATCAGAATCCAAGTTCTATGTAACATTGAAAACGTCACTTCCTCCTTTCCACCTTCATACTACTAGTTACTACCAGCCATTCTCTCAATTGAACCAGTAACAGCTTTGTTGGTACTGCTGCTATAAAAAGCTCCATGGTGATCTGTTAGGAATACGAGAACCCGATACCTAGAAACCACCCTAGGTAGGGTAACCTCACTCAGAATCGGAATCTCTGGTCTCCAACACCCCCCTTCAGCTCTCTTACAGGGCC